TAGGTGGTGCAGTGGACAGAGCACCGACCCTGGAGTCAGGAGGACCTGAATTCAAATTTGGCCTCAGACACATAACACTCACTATCTGTGTGACTCTGGGCAAGTCACTTAACCCCAATGGCCTCACCCAAAAAAAAAAAAAAAAAAAGAAAGTCTTGAAAAAAGCCAGACCCATATCCAGGAGAGAGTGTTTGTAAGAGCAAGGAGGCCACAGTGCCACTGGATTGAAGGAAGAATATATGGTGTCAAGTCCTGAAATAAATCAAAACCATGAGTTGAAAAATAAATCGTCTTTAATTAAGATAACTGGGCAGCAAAAAAAAAACACCTCTCTGGGATGTCCAGTGGATTTCCCAACCAAAGAGACTCATGAAAAAATTTTTATAGTTTTAGGAGGAGACGGGGAGGAGGCAGCATGGGGTACCAAGGTCTGGTCATGACACCCCAGTGGCAATCCAAGCAAGGAAAGCCACTTCATTCTGGCTGTTTTGCCCTTTGTGCCATGAATCCCAGTGGAAGTGATGGGGTAAGAATCTGGGCCCCAGAAAGGAAAAATCCTGGACTTTCCCACATGGCCAAATCTCTGGCTTTCCCCTGAGGCTATAATCCCATCAACTGGCCTTTCATTGTGGCTACACCCAATCTCCCCTCTATTGTCTTACCTCCCTATGACACCGCCATTTCTCACCCTTAATCCTAGCTAGGGTCCTTTCTCCCTTGGCCACGGGGGTCAAGGTCCCAGGAGTTCTGTTCACCCCAGCTTAGTAGCCACTCCCATCCAGATCTCCTTAGGCCCTTCCTCTCTCACCCCAAACTACTTGGCCACTCCTAGATCCCTCCTACAGTCTTTCTGTATATAAGGTCCATCTTGTCTGTATTAAGATGCTCTGATTCTTAGAATCTAGCCAATAGCCCATAGATACTCAGATTCCTTAAGAGTCTAGTTAATATGGCGAATCTTCAATAAACCTTGTTTTTGGCTGCAAGAAGGCTTGGGTCAAATTCTTTCGGGCAGGACCCAGGTGTCGTGATTTTGGAGTTCCAGGACCCCTAACCTCTAGACCGCATCAGAAGGGGGTTAATACACTAGAAGCTGAGACCCAGCTTGAGCTGGGCTCCCCACAAGGCAACATCTCTGTGTGGACCTAGGATGTGGGTCAGCTCAACCTAATCTCATTATTTTCAGAGTAGGAATGTAAGGACATCACTGGAATTTTGACATTGTCATGATGACTAAGAGGTTTAGGCATCCCTGGTACAATCAGTATTAACAATTATATTAGCAGTTTTGTCAGTGGTAAAAGTGAAGGGGGAGGGGGTGTTAGATTATGAAGGGCTTTGAATGACAGAAGACTTTCTATTTGATCCTAAAGGTGATAGGGAGCCATTGGAGTTTGTTGGGTAAGGGGATGACTTGGTTGGACCTGTACTTTAGGAAAATCACTTTGGTAGCTGAATGGAGGACGGCTTGGAGTAGGGAGAGACTCCAGGTGGGCAGACCCACCAGCAGGCTGTTGCAGTATTCCAGAAGTGAAGAGGAGAATGAGAGGTTGCACCAAGGAGGTGGTGGTGGTGGTGGCGGCGGCAGTGTCAGAGGATAGATAGGACTGCATTGGAGAGATGTTGCAAAGTCAAAATTGATAGACCTTGGCAACAGATTGGATACTGAGGTTTGTAAGAGATTGTGAGGACTTGAGGAGGAAACTTAAGTTTCAAGCCTGGGGGACTGGGACGATAGTGTTTTCCTTAACAATAATAGGTAAGTTTGGAAAGGGTGGTTCTGTTTTGGACATGTTGAATTTAAGATGTCTACTGGACATCCAGTTCAAGATGTCTAAAAGGCAGTTGGAGATTCAAGATTGAAGGTCAACAGAGAATTTGGGGCAGGATAGGTAGATTTGAGAATCATGGACCTAGAGATGGTAATGAAATCCATGGGAGCTAATATCACTAAGTGAAGAAGTGTAGAAAGAGAAAAGAATCATCTTTCCTTCCACTCATACATCCCTCGAATCATCTTCCTTTCTTTTATTATGTTTGAAAATTAAGGTAAAGTGGAAAGACTTACACAAACTGAAGCAGAACCAGGAAAATATTGTGCACAGTAAGAATGATATTGTACAATGATCAACTATGAATGACTTAGTTATTCTCAGCAATACAGTAATCCAAGACAATTCCAAAGGACTCATGAGGAAAAAAATTGCATCCACAGAAAGAACTAATGGAGTCTGATGCAGATGGAAGCATAGTATTTTCACTATTTTTTTGTGTTTTTTTTTCTTTGGGTCTGTTTCTTCTTTCACCACATGACTAATATGAAAATATGTTTTACATGATTACACATATATAACCTATATCAAATTGCTTACCATCTTAAGGAGGGAGAAGGTAAAGGAGGAGAGAAAATTTAAAACTCAACAGGTTTTTAAAAGATGAATGTTAAAATTTGTCTTTACATGTAATTGGAAAAAATAGAATACTATTTAGAAAAATTAAAGTAAACTGAGAGGCAGTAGTTTTAATCATGATCAGTTTATTAGGCTTCTTGTTGTTCAGTCCTGTCTAACTCTCCTTGACCCTACTTGGAATTTTCTTAGTAAAGTTCCTGCAGTGGTTTGCCATTTCCTTCTCCAACTCTTTTTGCAGAAGAGGAAACTGAGGCAAACAAGGTTAAATAACTTGCTCAGGGTTACACAGCTAGTGTCTGA